CTTTCCTTTTTGTAACCTTTTGTATTCTTTATTGATAATTAAAGAGAGAAAAAAGAGAATGGAGAACTAATGAAGAGGAGACAAAAAAAGGTGATTTGGTACTTGATGATGTTACTCTTGAGATAAAGAGGCATAAATTAAATACCAATTTCTGATGTGAATGGGAAAAAAATAAATTAAATAAACTACTTGTTAGAGTGACCCTAAATGGCATGACAGGCTAATTTCTCTTTCTCTTTTCTATTCCCATATTTTACCATTATTTAATTTACTTTAAAATATGTACTTACGTTGTTACTCATGTGGTCCTTTTTTTTGTCGTGCGTTTCTACCCACTCCAACTCTGCACACTGTGATTGTGACTGATTATAGGTTTTCAATACTTTGCTGTTAAAATTCCAAAATTGTTAATAAAAAAAAAAGACGAACGTCTACACAATTCAGGAAATTTATTTTGGTAGAGATATGGATCAAAGTCATATGATTAGGAGATGTTAAGATCGTAAGGACATATGACGGAAATTTTCCATCTGCTGGCCTGTTACTTCTGAAGCTGTGTCCATAGGCTATTATTAAAGATAATGGTGTATTGTTTTCTCTTAGTTCATGTACTTAGCTTATTTGGCATAAGGAGGCAATCCTGCCCCTATCAAGACCAAGCACTTACTAAAGGCCCCAATGGCCTTGCACATGTATTCTATATATCTGAAGCAATCAAAGTATCTGGAGGACACAGAGGAGGGGCGAGGCTAAAATCCCCTTGTCATGTCTTAGTTTGCCACTTCAACGGGCCTTTTATCATTTACAGCAATTTTTTATTGCCAAGCCAATGAAACACGATCTCGCCTACTGGACTGTGGTTTACAGAGGCTTTCACAATTTCAATGTACAGTAAAAGGCATCTTGTATAGAGTTGGATAAGGTCTAAATGTTGTAACTGAAGTCCTGGAAGTAGGCCGTTTAGCCTTCTGTAGTATCTCCACATGAATAAGCCTCTGTAACACACAGTGACCCTTTCTTCCTGACCCGGCAAGTACCGGGAAAGCAGTAAAATGCCCACAGTGTTTTAGAGAGAGGATATTCAGCTACACTAAGAGAATAAACCCTATTTAAATGTGAGCTGCAATAAAATTTACCTATAGTTAATCATATGTAACAGAACAATCTTTCCTGACCTTTCCCTTGCCTTTCACTGTAATTATTAGAGCGATTATTAGAAGTACAGCAAACTGTGCACGGTTTGGGGAGGGTATTTTAGTTGTGAATATAAAGGATAAACATGTGAATAAAGTTTAAAATAACATTATTCAGCTTCATGCTAGATCGCTGACAAAGAAAGACCTCTTAATAAGGCCTCTGTATTTAGAAGGACATTGTGCCTGAATCCACAGCTGTTTGCTTCGAGGGAACTTGAATCCAAATAGAATCAATCATTCCGCCCTCCTTTGCCCATCAACCTAGACTTCTCAGTGAGAATGTCCTTTAATGCATTTGCACTCATACAATACACCAGGTGATGGCTCTAGTTGGGCAGCTGCAATAACAACATGGCAACATGGGGGGATCAGTTTTGGCACCTCATTATACTATAACCAAATATGGTATGGCCCACTGGGCCACAAATATAGCTTTGGTTTTTTTTTTTTGCTGGGACTAAAGTAGCATTATCTTGCATTTGCTGCCAAGGATTTTTTTTTTTTTTGTGATATGTGTTCAACACTTTGCAGTTCTGTTTATAACGCAAGAGGAAGATGCATCCAGTAAATTAATGGAATTTATCAAGACTTGAAAAGTGTGTCTTTCACTAAAGTAGCATGGTAATACCCTGATAAGATTTTGTGCCATAATAGTACCAGGCAGACTATAACAGGGGAGAGATTTGCCAAGTCACTACCATTTAATAAAAATGCACGTTATCAGATCTTACATTAGATAATAGGTTGCCATCATTAATAGGTCAATCTTTAACACATTTCCTCCCGCATCATGTGTAGAGTGGAAGCTGAGCCTAATGCCAAAATCAAGCATCATGCTATATGCTGGTGCAAAATGATGTATACCACAAAAGGTATTTCATAGTAATGTTAAAGTAATGTTTAGACTGTTCCAAACATAGCTGCCATTGTTACCATTTTTCTCAGGGCAGTCCTACGAGTGGGAAAGTCAGCAGACAGTCACAAGGCACAGAGAATAGCGCGTCTGGAGAGTGACTAGAAGACAATGGGTGCTCTACGCATGACTGCACCCAAAATAAATTACCAATCGTTGGTCCTGCACTCCCAAAAAGATGCAACAGGCTGAGTCTTGCAAGTCCCTTCCGCACTATAATAAATCAGTGGATGTTGTAACATTGGACTGTATTTTGGATTGGGGCCTGGGGGATACAGTTAGGTGGGGCTCCTGTGATCACTTTTATCAGGTTCATTGTACAATTTATGATGGGTATTAATAATATTGATATTACCTGTAATATTTATGTGTCTCTAGCTACTGTGCACATGGATACAATATGTCAAAACCAACTCATGTCATTTTTACTGCTCTGCAAAAACAAAAGAATCTAAAAAAAAAAAGCTGTAATTTACTTATACTTATAAATGTAAAGAAACGCGATAATGTGCAATGTGATAAGAGGCTGCCAAGATTTCTGTGATGGTTGGCCGAGTGGCATACTGCCTTCCGGTCTTTCACGCTGTTATAGGTCAGGTGCAATCTGCTGTTACTTGGTAATGTAACAGGGCAAATCCACAAAATACAGTGCATATAAAATGGGCATGTGGTACTAGACATGACCTGGTGATTAAACTAAAAGCAGGAAATTGAGCCATTTGGATATTGCACCATACTTGTTTAATTAGGCATCGCGCCGAGGCAATCAAACCTTCTTCAACTGCAAATAACAAGGGTTTCATGATTGTGTTTTGTTCCCCATGTTGAAGTGGTTTCTTATTTCTTTACAGTATAACAAAAATCAGAAAAGAATGGCCTGTGTTCACATTCATTGTCTCACTGTGGAACGCGTGTATATGTTTTGCAGGTTGTACCAAAAAGGGCAGGTGTTAAATATTAGCACAAACATACACTTATGAGAATGGTGCAAGTATTAAAAGAAGGTATGACAAGAAACTGAGAAACGGGTGACGGGTAGAATGGGGCAGAGGGCAAGTTTTACGTTCTAAGCAGGGACATTACTAGAAGCTACATGGTGGTAGAAGTCTATATGTGCAGCATTTCTACTTACAACACTGCACATCCAAAGATATTATTACTATTGACAAAGGGTGTAGGCAGAAGGTTTTTCACTTGGGGGGGGGGGGAGTGAAAATACAAAATCTGTCTTCGCATCCCCAATTAAAAAACAATCGACAATCCTGTAAAGTCTATATACATTCTGTAACATTCTAATTGTCATATAACTAACCTCTTCCTCCCCCCTACCCAGAAAAAAAAGTCTGTAGGTTATCAGTACTTGTTTTCTGGGGAGATAAACATTTTAGCAATAACAACTCTTTTCAGAAACAAAGGTTAGCATGCGCTGCGCTTCTGAATATGACAGTAAGTTGGTGTGCTAAGAGCTGTCACTGTGAAAACTTGTATAATAACTACATTTTTTTTTTTAGGACAAATAGACTTTTATAATATTTTATTATTGTTAATACTTTTATAATATTTTTTAAAAACCACCACATCTAAAAAAAATAAAAAGCTTTAGAAATATTGAAATTAGACGGGAGATGGCAACTTCTCTGGTGTCTAGTGGTGGTTCCCGTTTGCATATGGGCATATTGCTGACGGATGTGCTCATTTGCAAGCTCATTCAGTCATACCCTTGCATTACAAATTGACAGATTTTTTCTATTTCCAGGGGAATCAGTGATCCAGATAAACTGCAAACTATCTTGTCGGACCTTGGGAGATATGTATTTCATCTGCCAGCATATGAAGTCAACATATTGAAATGCAACACCATTCATGCACCAGTCAACAAAATGTGGGAATATTCCACATACATTTTGGTGGCAAATATAACTAGCCCCTTAAGGACCAAACTTCTGGAATAAAAGGGAATCATGACATGTCATGTGTCCTTAAGGGGTTAAACCACCAGTTTACATAATATTTTTAATTCTAAATAGTTAATTTCACTTGTTTAGGTAATATTTCAAGAGTCATTCACTAAATCTTTCATTACCTGGAATCCATCCATAAATTTTAAATTGTAGGCAAAATTATCAGAGTTGTCTATATTTTGCAACCCATTTATTTTGGTCATGAATGAGCAGTACCCTTGTGAGTTCAAAACAGTTCCGAGGTCAGAGAATAACCATGCATGCTTTTATTATTTACATTTGACATAGCCATTGCTAATAAGGACATTTACAATCTCAAATTAAAAAAAGACACGCCAAGGCACCAAACAACTTTAACTTATTGGAGCAATTTTGGTGTTTAAATCATGCCCCTGCAATCTTACTGCTCAATTCTTTACCATTTAGGATTTAAATCTTATTGTTTATCCAGCCCTACCCATACCTCCCCTTGCAGAGAATCCCACAGCTTTCCTCTAGTCTAAATTGTTTCCCTTCCCTTATCGCACAGTGTATTTAATTTAGAATTTCTTATCTCCAGCTCTGCTAATAACTGACTAGAGAACGCAATAGCCTAACGCGTGCGATTAAAGTTCAATTAACAATGCAGGAGACGATAACTTCTAAAGTAAACACACTGCGCATTAAGAAACGATTGAAAATGAAACCGGTTTCTTCCCATGCAGCGAGGGGATGAAGTGCCTGCTGGGACTGACTATACTCACCTGATAAAAAAAAAAACTACATTAAGCTGTACTTGTTCTGGTGAATGTAGTGTGCCTCTAAGTGCAAAAATAGCTGAATTGGAAAAATTCTCCAGGTCAGCCATGGTTTTATATATTTGCAGTTCATTCATTAAAGATGTCACTCTGATCACCTGACAGCGCACACTGTGCAGTGAATAATAATAATAATAATAATAACAATAATAATAATCCTGTAGAGCGAGCCAGGGAGAATCTGCCCTCATCAAACATGGCGGCGCGCGCTCCACTGACGTGCGGTCAGGGCAAAGGGATGTGACGTGCGCGCGTCACGTGACCGGGAGCGAGCGAGAAAGAACCAGCCTGCCTGCCTGCCTGCCAGCCAGCGAGCGCGAGGGCAAATCCTGGTTGCCGTGGGACACCGCCGGTGGTAGAGGCCGAGAGCTGCGTCACACAGCCGGGGGGGGTGGGGACCGCCATCTTGGAAAGCCAGCCATGGGGCAGTGCGGGGTCATCTCCTCCAAGACCGTGCTGGTCTTCCTGAACCTCATCTTCTGGGTGAGTCGCCGTTAAAACCATCGGATTGTTATAACCTCCATACAAACGGTGCCTGGGAACTACAGCTCCCATGATGCTCAGCCATCCCCCCAGCTGGACGAGCATCATGGGAAATGTAGTGCACAGCTAGCTCTGTGCTCGTGTCTGGGTCTGCCAGCACCGCTCTGTGTGATCTGCAGCGCGGTGTGAGCCCCAGCTGGTGTCAGGGGAGGGCCACGTAGGCTGTGGAGCAGAAATGGCCCAACGCAGAGTGACAGCTGTATGGACTACAACTCCCAGAATGCGCTGCCAATGCTGAGACTGACAAGGCATCACGGGAGTTGTAGTTCTAGAACAGGTTGGTATTTTTTTTTTCTCTCCTTTTTTTTTTTTGGCCTCCTCTGTTATAGACAGTTTGTGATTTTGTGTGCCTTATGAGCTTGTTGTATTGTGTGTTTTTCCTCTTAGTGTTTTTTTTGTTTTATTTAAGGGGAAAGAAAGTGTTTGGGGTTTTTTTTATTTTATTTTTTTATTGTTTCCAAAAGAAATGCTCATGCTGTTAACTAGATCACCCCATAGTAGCAGTGAAAGGGTTAAATTAAGCAACATGTCAGGCTAAGTGGGGGTGGGGGTTTGATCCCTGGCCATTGATTGGCCAGACTGCCTCTCTGTGTGTTGTTGTTGGCGAAAGAAATGTTCATGCTGTTGACTAGATCACCCCATAATAGCAGAGAAGGGGTTAAATTAACCCCTTAAGGACCAAACTTCTGGAATAAAAGGGAATCATGACATGTCACACGTGTCATGTGTCCTTAAGGGGTTAAGCAACATGTCAAGTTAAGGGGGGTTAGATCCCCAGCCATTGATTGGCCAGCCTGCCTCTCTGTGTGTTGTGAATGGCATTGTGAAGTTGCTATGTAGGATGTGCCTTTTGTGTTTTGCATGGCTAAGTGTAATTCCAGATTGTCAGCCTGGAGGGGATCAGTTTCACCAGATGATCCGCACTGAAATCTTATCATCTCTGTTCTCAATGCACTCCAGCTTCAGGTTTTCTGGGACAGGTGAAATGAAAATTCTAGAACAGTCAGTCCACTGTCACTTAGACACATTGTCCTCAAGCAGAAACAATGTGTGGAGTGATGTGTTGCAATATAAAAACCTTGGCTGGAATTTACCTTAATGCTTAATTCTATAATGAAAAGATACACTTGGTATTTTCTAATCCTTTGCATCAATGCTCATGTGTTGAAACATAACTGTTTCACGGTTAGCAATTCTTGTGTCCGTATATGACTTAGTAGCTTCTTTATTTTCATATTTTGCCGTGTTTAAACATTTTTGTATCTAATATAGTGAAAATTATTAGAAGTTAGAAAAACTTAACATTCTGCAGATTTGTACAATGGATGTGTGAGACATAAATTTATTTCAAGACAAGAGTGATTTACAGGAAAAAGAGGCGATGCGGTCCCTCCTTCAAGTCTTACCATCTGAAGGAAGTGGAGTAGAATTACACAAACGGTAACACTAATGTCCATTGTATTCAGAATGGATTAATAGACGTCTGTAAACAGTTTGAGCTGGGAGTAATGAAAATAAAAGGGAAAGAAGTTAAATGCTTAGTTGATATGCCGCCTAAAAGCAGTTTTTTTTTGTTTTTTTTTCTAAAGCTTTCTTGATAGATTGGAGATTAGGGAGAAGAGAATTCAATGGTGGGTGCAGTCCTGTGAGAGTTTTGTAGGTGAGCGTTTTTAGTGCAGGTGTGAACAATGCAGGAAGGCAGTCATGCAACATGTATGTATTGTGGACGATATGTAGATTTTAAACTGTTATAGGTAACAACTTGCAGGGTTATATACTATAGTGAGAAATTCCAGTAATTCCACATTTACGGCCAAAGTAGCCGAATTGGAAACATATCCGATTTGTAGACATTTTCCAGTTTAGTTCTTTTGGCTTTAGATTTGAAATTTGCTTTGAAATTCTGATTATTATCACTTTAGTGAATAAGCCGGTTCAATTTGAAATTCATCCCTAAAATGCATTGTGAGCCAGTGTAAGGAATGACCGGATTAAGCGTGCAATATTGGGAAGCTCTAGCTACTAATTTATTTTGCACTGGAAGTGGGCAATCTGGGCTTGTAGTAGTCTAAGCGGGATATAATTAGAGTATGGTATATAAATTTTAGTTGCATCATAATTTCAAATGAAAGCAGCAGACTCTGAAGAATCCTATGAGTGACAGGTCACCCAGGATGTGTTGCTCGCGATTCATCCCCTCGCTTCCAGTAAGTCCTTCAGAGTCATTCTCTTCAGTCACTCACAGGAATTCTCCATCCGCTGATCCATTTACTCCTTCAGGGATCGCTTCCTTGCTCCAGGGAAAGGGGACATCCCACTGCCGCCACCAGATGTAGCGGACCGCTCCTAGGTGACCGGTGTGTCGCTGCCAAGAACTCCCTTTCCTCCTTAGCGAATACTTCTCGATTGATTCTAGCTCAACCCTGGTCATTAACTGAGGCTTAATCTAAGGGTAAAACAAGTGATTTATTGGAGTGACTGCCACCTTTTTTATACTTGGTTCCCCAACATGGTGTCACCAAAAGAGCAATGACATTTCGCAATACCTGGCGCCTGGGTGTCTGTACCTGAAGAGTTAACTTTATTAATGGCCAGACACCTTGGCACCAAACAGTAATACACCCTGAAAACAGGTGTTCCTGTGCCCACTTCCCCAAACTAGTGCCATCACTGGATAGCTCTCCCATAGAAAGATGTTCAGTCTAAAAAGCACTTGGATTAGAAACATGACGGCAGATGAGAACCATTTGGCCCGTCAAGTCTGCCCAATTTTCTGAATACTTTTATTAGTCCCAGGCCTTATCTTATAGTTAGGATAGCCTTATGCCCATCCCACGCATGCTTAAACTCCTTTAAGCATGCGTAGGATAGGCATAAGGCTATCATAACTATAAGATAAGGCCAGGGACTAATAAAAGTATTTAGAAAATTGGCCAGGGGATTAGAGGTACCAAGCATGAATATTCAGCATGATGAATTTTGACAGGGCCACGAGCATCCTTTGATTCGACGCAAAGTTCCATAGCGCTGGGTGGAAAGGTCCGGTCACTTTTGATGACTGTACTTTAAGTCGGTACATTGAACTCCCACAAGTCCTTGGTGTCTTTCGATGCCTCACTACCTCCTCTATCACCCCTCAAAATGGTGCTCTCTTTTGTGGTCCTGGGATCCAGAGCGACCTCAATAGAGTTAGACCTGGAGTTTCAGGAGATTTCAGGTTCCCTGCTGGTCTCTTAGTTCATCTTGGATGCTGGATAGGAGCACTGAGCTGTGAGGGACGTCCTGGAGGGGGAGTAAGTGATAATAGCGATATTGGGAGAGGGTGACCAGGTGGTCTGTAACAGACAGCATGTAAGAAGTGAAAGAAAAGTGGAGAGAAGGTGACCCAAAAGCAGGATACTAACAAACGAAGAGGAGCATTTTAAGGAGAAACTTCTTTTAGTCTATTGGATAATAATGTATGGATTTATATCCACAAACCATAAATTGTGGATAAATGTCAAGGAAATTGCAAATTTTAGACCAAACTGTGATGTCATAACTTGTCATCGCGCTTACTGGAAAGAATAAAAAGATTTCTATATCTATCTCACACTTTTTTTTATCTTTCATTATATGTGATGCATAGAAAGAGAGAGAGATTGCATATGTTATGTATTGGTACAACTTTGTTTACCAGTGTATTGTTTTTGTTTCAGGCTAATGTGCTGACTTTGCTTGTTAGTACATATATCAATAATCATAAAGGCTTTCTCCAAACATCATAGCTACTACAACCTGAAAATGGGGCAAACAATTGTACAGTTTCCCCTTATTCTTCTTGGCACCGTGTCTCCTCTGTGGGCAATTTTTTTTATATCCAGCTTCAAAGCTTCAAAAGACGGGTGTAAGTCTTACCACTAATTCGTTGGCTGAGAGTGGCTCTTTGATTTGAAATTTACGCCTCTGGCAGCATTTCACAGCAAAGTGCGGCATATACACAGTCCCGGAACCACTTCAAATCAGTGCAGTGGCAATGGTGCTTGCAGTAACTCCTTAAGCTATACGCTCCCTACAATATGTAGTTTATATTTCAATCCTGAGGAAAAAGTGGATTTGCAGTTTTGCCTGTTTTACAAGTTTATCTTCCTATTTCCATTTAAAGGGACACTATAGTCACCAGAACAACTACAGCTTTATGTATTTGTTCTGGTGAGTACAGCCAGTCCCTTCAGGCTTTTTGAAGTAAACCTCGTCTTTTCAGAGAAAAGGCAGTGTGTACGTTACAGCCTAGGGACACCTCCAGTATCCACTCCTCAGGTGGCTGCTAGATGTGCTTCCTGGGGCAGTGCTGCACTGACATTCAGTGTCTCTACCCTCCGCATGAAGTCGCTTAGCATCTCTATGAGTAGATGCTGTTTGGCTTGAGCTGGTTCTGCCCCTGATCTGCCTCCTTGACAAGCTCAGCCAATCCAATGTGAAAGCATTGTGATTGGCTCAGAACACCACTTCTAAATATGTCAGCCAAGCATGCAGATCAAGGGCAGGGCCAGCAGTAGCAGACTGGAATAAAGTTAAGATTTTATTATATTTAGGACGGCAGGGGGCTAGTTAGTGATTTTAGCACTATAGGGCCAGGAATACATGTTTGTGTTCCTGACCCTATTGTGTTCCTTTAAAGGGACTCTCCAGTGGCAGGAAAACAAACCATTTTCCTGGCACTGCAGGTCCCCTCCTCTCCCACTCCCCATCCCAAGCTGCTGAAGGGGTTAAAACCCCTTCAGTGACTTACCTGTATCCAGCACCAATGTCCCTCGGTGCTTGTTCAGGGACCGCCCACGCTCCTCCTCCGCCGACGACATCCGGCGGGGGAGACCTAATGCACATGCGCGGCAATGCCACGTATGCGCATTAGACCTCCCCGTAGGAAAGCATTGAAAAATGCCTTCAATGCTTTCCTATGGGAATTTCAGCGACGCTGGTGATCTTCACATAGCGGGAGGACGTCCAGCGACGCTATAACACACGGAATGTGAAAATCTGTGCTAGAAACCCGGAGGTGCCCTCTAGTGGCTGTCTAGTAGACAGCCACTAGAGGAGGAGTTAACTCTGCAAGGTAAATATTGCAGTTTTATGAAAAGTGCAATATTTACAGTTGCAGGGTTAATGAGCAGAAGTGGTCTGGGTGCCTGGAGTGTCCCTTTAATGTTTGGACTCTGGCGTTTGTACTTGCTAACCTTACAGCTGTTTTATAAAATGTTGCATTACCCTAACTTTTGAAACATATCCTGGAGAGTATTCTTTTTTACCAGCAGCCATAAAGCACATGAGGTTTTTTTAAATGTAATGACAATATTTTTGTTACTCAGCACAATCATTTTGGTTTTTAGTTGTACTGTGCTTGTTCTAAAGGAAGACTCTAATGTTAAATAAGTGTTTGTTTTTTTCTGTTAATGTTACAGGGATTCCATTTTTATTAGAAATCTGTATAAATACACATAAAACCTCGAGTTTATAGCAAGTTAATTCTTATCAGTATTATGGAACACTTCAAACGTTTCACACCAGTGGACTGAAAATAATTCTATTTAGTTTGTAATCACTGTCCAAGGTTTTTAGTTAGGAAACCTTTCTAATTCTCAGTAACTGAGCTTGGCTAAATAATTCATTAAATCTTAGGTCAAGAAATGTAACAATTACCGGGGTGCTTTGAGCAACATAAGCCGCATAGCTCAGTGCATGGTGCTAACCCGCTCCTCCACTCTGGGCCAGTCAATGTCCTCCATGGTGAACGAAAAGGACATTGATAATGTGAAAGAATTTAAGGAATACTTTAAGCACAATAACCTCTATTGCACACTTTAGTGGTTATGGTGCCAAGAGTACATTGACATGACCATGATGGTACCATTGCAAAGGGGGGTGGGGGGTGGTATTATCATGAGTCATATAATGCAGCTATTAAATGTTTTGACTTCTTGCATGGGTGGGCATCAGGGCGCTCCTGGCTAATGATGTTGTTGGAGTGTTCTTTTAATTCTGCATTATCAATCTGACCTCGATTGGATATGTCCCTGCGTTCCATAAAAATTCCAAGCTCATATCAAACCATCTTTAAATGGCTTTACACTAAACCAGCGGACAGTGCCGAGGCACTCAAGGCAGTATGACCATTACAGGGAATTGTAACTGTTAATTTGTTTAGAACAGGGCTGGACTGGGGGGAAAGAACTGTCCCGGACATTTTAAAATCAGAACGGCCCAGTGGGAGGATGCTAGATGTGTGGGCATGTTATGCCATCTCCAAGCAGCAGTTACTGTATTATCATAAATGCTGGTTAACATCATGAACTTTATTAAATGGAAAATAAAGCAATTCATGTGTTGCATATTCTCCAGATGTTTGATAGATTAATGATGCCACACATGAATCCAGTTTCTATTAAAATGGACATCACTTCTGCAGATGTGCCAAAATGTCATACAGATAGTCTGTAAAATTCTCCTTTCTAGTGTTTAGATGACCTTGTATTCCTATTTTGTGTGCGCTACGACATGCATATTGCGTACTGGGAGCATGCATGATGCTTCATGTATGTTTTATCTTTATAAAGGAGCAGAAAGCAGGTAGTTTATATGTAGTTTATCCTGAGTTATACATCACAGTGATATCTACCTCTTCACTTGCTTTATATAATTGTTTAGTGCTTCTCTGTGTTTGCGACACCCTTGGCACCAGAACCACTGCATCTGTTTGAACTGGTTATGATGCTATGCGTTTCTGTGTACCGTACCCAGTTTCCATTTTTTTGACTGACTGGTGGAGCTCCTTCCTGGCCTGGGAGGGGTCTGATAAACGCCGGGTCTACCTGTGCAGATGTTACATTTTGTTGACTTTGCAGTTTTTTTGTTTTATTAAGAAAAAAATGTTCCTATTAATATGGTTCTGACACCTGTTTTATTTATATATGGGTCCTCCTATATACGCTTTCACATATAGGAGCAAATAACCAATAACTCCTTTCAGTGGGAATGAGATAAGTGCGCTGCACGCACCAGTTGAAATATCTTTATTGAATATGTTTGTACAATTGGGATGTGGTTAGGCCAGAGTCCTGTAGGAGAGATTAATGTATTGAATGTCTATTCAGTAAATGGTGAACCTCTCTGCAAACCCTGAACAATGTGTGTGATTGTACTACCACAGTACCTTTGCAATTTCTGCTCTCTGTAAACAGACTTACCTTCCAACGCCCGAGGGAAAGGGAGATTGGTTCTTGTTAATTAAATGTTAACCATCATATTATTTTATAGCGTAGAACCTCTTGCCACTATGTTTTATGCGGAGGTGGGGTGATTTAATAGACATGTTTGTTTATGTATATAAATATTGCAGCACTCTTTTTGGTTAATGCTGACTCCAAAAGTGCGTCGGGCAAGCGTATGTTGCACATTATGCTTGTTTTGGGTTCACTATGGTGATGTGACCCGTGATACCTTTTATTCTCAGTTAGGTTGCTTTAATTTGACATGGGTAAGTAGGATCTCCAGTGAGATTTATCACTGAACTCCAGGGTTACAGTGTCTGTTATCTATCGGCCATTTGGAAGAGAAATTATTTGAAGTGGATAGACCTCACCTAGAATAGTTAAATGGACACTATATAGTCATCAGAACAACTACAGTATATTGTAGTTGTTCTGGTGAGTATAGTCATTCCCTGCAGGATTTTTGCTGTAAACTATTTATTTTTTTCCCCTGAGAGAATGCACTTCTCAGAGGGCTACTAGAGGTTTTTCCTGGGGTGCAACACTGACATTCAGTGTCTCCTCCCTCTGCATTGAGACACTGAAATTTCCTCATAGAGATGCATTGATGCAATGCATCTCTGTGAGGAGATGCTGATTGGCCAGGACTGTCCCCTGCCCCGCCCCTTTGGGAATCTCAGTCAATCATATGCTTTCCATAGGAAAGCATTGTGATTGGCTCAGATCATCATCCCTTCTGATGATTTCAGCCAAGGAGGCGGGTCAAGGGCAGAGCTAGCACTAGCAGACTGGAATAAAGGTATGCTTGTACTATGATCCTTTAGTGTTAAAATCACTGTTTGTGTTCCTGGCCCTATACTTTCATACTGGAGCAATCAGACTGAAGGGATTTTTCTGTTCTTACAAATATCTACCCTTTTCTCTCTTTTCTGCTCTTTAGGGTGAGCATAGGAAATATACTGTATCTAGAAAACAATACGGTGTATCCCTGTTTCGATACTTTTGTGTCAATCTGTTTGTTAGTACTCTAGAGAAGGTATTATGTAGATATTTGCAGAGACTGCATTGATACTACAATACCCAAGTGATGACAGATGCCAAATATGCAAAGAATTGACACCAAGTTGGGAAGTCTGGATCTGGGCCGGCTAATTAAACACTTGTGATGCTGCTTGAAGTGAATAATGGAAATAGTTATGGTTCTTATAGTAACCCTTTAATATATGCTGCGTATTACAGCATAACGTATCTGTTTATGGTGTTGGTTTCTGTTTAACAATACCGTTTGCCAAAAATGGTTAGAAGATGTAAAGCATTGTGGGATCCATAATCTTGTATGGGTTTCCTATGAAATCTGCCTAAACACCATCTATATATTCCCTGTCCAACTTTCTTTGTGATTATTGATACATTGGGAATGATCCACCCTAGTCTGGATGCAATGTGGATGGAATTTGTAGTCACTCCACTTTACGCATATTGAAAAAAAACTTTAACAGTCACTAATTGGTTATGTCAAACATGTCACAGAATTCTGAGCAGATGTATAGGAGTAACAGTATTGCGAGTATTGTGTCTCAGATCTTTATTTAGTGTGCATGAGTTTTTTTCCAGGTATTCATTGGCACGTTTGTTAAGTTCTGGGATAGTCTTTTCATGCAGCTCCAAATGCAGATTTCCATCTTGTAAAATAGTAATTTGCATAGGATGCCTCAGGCACCAAAGTAAATGTTTTATATCACCAGATCTGTACATTTGCTTGGATTTCTTGTGACAATATAATTGAATTAATGTATTTTTGATCATAATGCCATCAAACATTTTGAGCTCCATGAAAGTTCTGTGTGATCTGCTTCACGTCATGACGCTAGATTTTTACACTATATGCTCTAATTTCTTCACAGGCAGCGGCAGGCATTTTATGTTACGTGGGAGCCTATGTTTTCATCACCTACGATGACTACGACCACTTTTTTGAAGATGTGTATACCCTGATTCCAGGTGTAATAATCATAGCTGCAGGAGCCCTCCTGTTCATCATTGGTTTGATTGGCTGCTGCGCCACAATTCGAGAAAGCCGCTGTGGATTAGCAACAGTAAGTACATCATGCCTCTATCTAATGCCTCATCTGTTCTGCCATACTTGTCAGTTAGATTCATTCACATCTTAACATGCAGTTGCAACATGAGGAGTATTGCACAAGAAATGGACTGTTCCAATTTTAATGAAATCCCAGCACTGTCTTTATTCTATCTTTATGTAAAATGTGAGTGTTGCTTTATAATGACATGGCTCCATTATCATTCTGGGACTGAGCTCACTGCATGTTCTTCAGATCTCGATTTACACACCATAATTCACATTTCAAATACAAATATATTTTGCTAACACAGTGTACATTTTGTATGTTTGTTTTACTTACCTGAAGCTCACGTAATCTACACAGTTGTGGGTAATTTGTCCACCTTATGTAACCAGAGTAGTTTTTATGTATTTAATGTATTACCACCAACACATAATGTCCCTCAGCGCTGGGTCACGGTCCGCCCACGCTCCTTGGCCGCACTCGCATTAGGATTTCCCCATAGAAACATTATCTGACGCTGGAGGTCCTTATGTCCAGAGTCAGATAACGGACCACAGGTCTGTTTCGATTCCGGAAACCCTCTAGTGACTGTCTGGTAGTCAGCTACTGTGGGTAGACTTAGAGCTGCAATATAAACATTGCAGTTCTCTGGAACTACAATGTTTTACATTGCAGCACTAAGTGCAAAAGGGACACAAAACCCAGACTACTTCAATGAGCTGAAGTGGTCTGGGTTCCTACAGTGTCCCTTAAAACAATTCTCATAGCTCAATAACCAGTTCACATTTATGAAATGGTATTGGTGCATAATTTTTTTGTTCTTTTTTATTTTTTATTTTATTTTCTTGGCAATGTTAACATTATATCTAAACCACACCCCTAATGGCCAACACACTGACAACCACAGGAGGTACTTCCTCATTGGAAACCATTAAAAAGTAAAGATCTTCACGTTCAGCATCATTATGCCCAACATGATGATGTTGGAGGCTGGAGATGCATTGTATTGGAATAAGATAAGGGCCGAGCAGCTGCCAAAAGTTGGGTTTCATTTTCTTTAAATACGCCTGCAAGGGAACGCTTGAAGGTTAAAAATATATTTATTATTAACTTTAGGGTGTTCCTTTAAACCAATATAGATCTGTTTTTTTTACTTCTCTTTTTTGATGGAGAATTAAATATTTTCTGTTAAAGAACTTACATGGCAAGATAAAAGTGAAGTTAAACTTCAGCTGTAAAAGTAACAATATCAGTGTTTGTGAGCTAATTAAAGCAAAGCTGTGGAATCCTCTACCAGTACTTCACGTTTTAACATCGGATTGTATACTTGATGTCCCCATCAACAGCAGGACAAAGAGTGCAATATTTTATAACAGAAGGATGCCATATTGTGTTGTGTTTATTTTTCTATGTTACGGCTTATTTTGGCTTTGAATTTTTCCAAGCAAGCTATACAATAAAGAATGACCATAGTCTACCTAAGTAGTCCCTTCAGATCCAGTTAGCATGATTGGGCATGATTTATACTACAGTCTGCTAGAGTGTGGATCTATTAGTAAGAATCATTCATATTAACACGTTTAACTTTAGGAAAGTTATTTCATGAACACAATTTAGACATGAACTATTGAGCTATTCTTTAACACATGGTAACGTCTGTAGCTGACTGAACTGTAACCTTGTTTTGCAGTTTGTGATCATCCTTCTTCTGGTGTTTGTAACGGAAGTTGTTGTAGTAGTCCTTGGATACATCTATAGAGCAAAAGTAAGTCTTATCAGCCCTGTTGGAAGGACAATGAGATGTGCACATATATATTGTATAATAGAAATACCTCATTGCCGATTTCAAGCTTTTTTTTTTTTTTAATACTTTGCTTAAAAAATACAATGGTGTGAATTAGCCAAAAATATAATTTATGAACAGACAAAACTCCTTAACTTGTCCTTCAATTAGTCCCTGCTCAGGATCCATCCAAGTCTTGCTCACTTGTGTCATTATGGAGAGAACCTATAAGACTAGCTTATCACACTGATCCTGCCACAAATAACAGACCCATGCAGAAATGCTGGCTAACTTATAGTCTGTTCTCACTGTTCCAAAACCTTTTGGTTTAGGCTATATATACCATTACTATCTGTGCTGTACACATTACCGGGATACTCCAGCTATGCTCTGTGTTTACAGGTGCAAGATGAAGTTGATAAGAGCATCTCAAATGTATTCCAGCAGTACAACAGCGTATCCCCCGACTCAGCCAGCCGGGCCATCGATTATGTCCAAAGGCAGGTAAGGTTGTCATTCACAGTAGGTGATCTGTTTTTCAGTAAGTTGCCAGGAATTATGCACACACAAAAAAGTGCAGTGCTATTTAAAGCGGTGATAATGTGTGGGATGAAACAATTTGCTCGAAATCTAAAAGCAATGTTATATAGCGGAGTGAAAGAAATCGTGTGGTTATCACATTTCTCTCCTTTTTCCAGTTACACTGCTGTGGAATCCACAACTTTTCAGATTGGGAGAAAACCCCCTGGTTTATTGAAGCAAAAAACAACAGTGTTCCTCTAAGCTGCTGTAAAGAAACAGCTTTCAACTGCACAGGAAGCATGAGCAGGCCTGGAGACCTGTACTCTGAGGTGAGCGGTATGCACTTGCACTCCTGTTCTCAGTCAGATTTATCTACTGTTAAAAACCTAGAACATCAACTGGCAAAGCACCATGGGTTCTGTGGCTCAACAGGCAGGAACCCACCCTTTGGTCAGTCTGCCCTAAAAATAATACTAGAATGTGCTGTGATCATTATGACGTGGCCTTCAGATACTTCGCTGAAACGTCACTGTAAGCATATTCTCAGCTCACTGTAGCTCTGGCTGTGCCACTCCAGGTTTGGGTTACTTGTGTTAATTGTTCTCCAATGCTGCACACGCAAACTTGAGCAGAGCGCTCTTCTGCCAGGAGAGAGCCAAGCCATGGCTGTGCTGACAGCCATATTTACTAAAACATATGTAAACACATGGCTACTCTACCCTCCCCCCTCCCCCCATCCTCTTTCCTATTCTCCTCCCAGCTGTAAATACTTTCATATAACTATTCAATCTCCATCTCTGTTCTTCAGGCCTCATCACACACCCAAACTCAGTGAAGCTCTGCATTTTTTCTCACCACTTCCCTCCCTCCCTCCCTCTTACATATATAGCATGTTCCACCAGCTGTTTGAGATTCTCACTCAATTACCTTTTCATTCCCTTTGTATTTTACCAATAGCTGCTTCTCTCTGTTAACTATTTTAGCCATCACCTCCAAATTTCCCCTGCTACCTCTTGTCTCTAATCCCCCTGGTATCCTTTAGATTGTAAGCTCACGGGCTATCTTGCTAAGCACTTTGTATAAAGAGCTCCAATGGCTAGATATCCGCTTACGGGCAGGGTTCTCTCTACCTCTTGTATTTGTCTGTGTATATTGTACGTTCTCCACTAATTGTACAGCGCTGCGGAATCTGTTGGTGCTTTATAAATAAAATGACAGCCATGCTACAGGTACTCTCAGTTTACAGAGCAATTCTACTCATCCAAAGTGAAACTGCTCTTTATGGATGAAGTACTTAAGAAGGAGGTTTATAAAATAAGAAAAGACTAAACAACTGATTGTAGGTCTATTCCTGATGTTGGAGCAGTCCTCTTGCAGGCAGACCTACTATACTATGATTTTGGCTGGGAACTATTAAGGTATGTATCTTTAAATAGGTTTGGGCTTTTACATTTTTTATTTTTACTGCATTTCATTAAATCTTTTTCAACTGATCTTCCTTAACCCCTTAAGGACACATGACACGTGTGACATGTCATGATTCCCTTTTATTCCAGAAGTTTGGTCCTTAAGGGGTTAAACTAAAATTGTCATTCTGATGTCCTCAATTCACAGTTTAATTAATAAAACCTATTTATGGTAGTCTGATCAGCCCTTTCCTGAATATGCATAGTTTATCAGATCACAAGGCATCCTCCTTTGTCTGTTTATATGTATGTGAACAGATTTCTATTTTAGTTCTCTGAGTGATGCCATTTCTCTTTTCTGATTGTTTCCTTCTATAGGGTTGCGAGGCACTAGTTGTTGAGAAATTACAACAGATAATGATGTATGTGATTTGGGCAGCACTGGCATTTGCTGCTATACAGGTGAGTTCTGGATGGGGGTTAAGGGTTCACATATGTGAGGATCTTTTTCCTTTTCATTTTAGACAGTACAAGTATGTATTTACGTTTTTTGCTGCCCCCCAAATCTGTGTGTACTTTATTGTCCGTGCACATAAAACTACCTATTCACCTAGTATGTGTGTGTATGCTTGCAATCAAATGCATACATACATACATACATACTTAGAAGCACGCCAGCATGCAAAATCAAATACATACATACAAGCACACTAGCATGCAGTATCGCACACATACTTGTTTAGTAGTGATTAAAGTGTTAGGAATACAAAACTGTATTCCTACCACTAGTGTCCCTCTGCCTCCATGGTCCACCTCACGCCTATCAAGAAAGGGTTAAAAAAATAAAAATCTTTCTTTGATTTACCTGATTCCAGTGCTGAGGTGCTTTTCTATGGGGTTTTACAAGATGCTGGACGTCCAGCGTCATTTCACGAAATACCAGGTAGCACCTCTTGTGGATGGCTTGGAAAACAGCCGCTAGAGGACAAGTAAACCTTGCAATATAATGAATGCAGTTTCTAAGAAACTGCAATAATTAACATTGCAGGGTTGAGGGGACAGAGCACTGGTGTCTATAGTTTCCCTTTAAGCAGGGGAGATGTTCAGTGGCTTGCATAATCTCATTCCTGCTCCTCCCCAGATTGCACAGTGACAGGCAGTGGGTGTTGTTATATATTTTTGCTTTGTGACATAAAACAGGACCCAGAGGTTACTCTTTAGTGACGCCGTGTGCTGCAATAGTGCTACACTGAGAACGGTCAACTCCCTTTTAGCACACCAAATAGCTAATTAAAGTACGACGTGTGCGTATATGGAAATCCTCTGTGAGATTCCTGAGCGTGGATGTACTATCATAGCGTGGCAGAGGTAATGTTGTTTTTGTTTTTTGTTTTTTCTTACCTCCTTTGCTATATTTACCCCCATTAAGAATGAGAGTTTCCATTTGTTTATTTGTTTTAGAAGACAGCAGCTGCACAAAACTGCTGCAAAGTTGCACTTTATAGAAACTACACTTAATAATTTAGTGGTTTCTATTGGCTTTCTAAACAGCTGGTCTCAAACATAGAAACATAGAATGTGACGGCAGATAAGAACCATTCGGCCCATCTAGTCTGCCCAATTTTCTAAATACTTTCATTTGTCCCTGGCCTTATCTTATAGTTAGGATAGCCTTATGCCTATCCCACGCATGCTTAAACTCCTTAAAGGATAACTATAGTGTCAGGAAAACAAATCTGTTTTCCTGACACTATAGTGCCCTGAGGGTGCCCCCACCCTCAGTGTCCCCCTCCCGTGGTGCTCACTTTATTCCAGCGCCAGGCTCCCTCGGCGCTGGTGACCTCTCCTCGCCGTCCGACGTCAGTGGAGCTTTCCTATGGATGCGAAATTTGCATCAGCTCTCTGAAACTGCTATGTTTACATCTGAAGTGTTGAAACCTGAGGGACATTGCACCCAGACCACTTCATTGAGCTGAAGTGGTCTGGGTGACTATAGTGTCCCTTTAACTGTATTAACCTCTACCACTTCAGCTGGAAGGCTATGCCATGCGTCCATTACCCTCTCAGAAAAGTAATACTTCCAATAACTAGTATTTATATAATGCCTTTCTCCCAGTGGGACTCAAATCACTTTTCAGTACACGCTTTCGGAATTAACCAAACAGGCAGCTGAATAGTAATTAATGGTACTCATTTTATCGACCTTGGAAGGATGAAGGGCTGAGTTGACCCGCTTTGTAGTCAGGGAATTTACCAACTGAGCTACCTCAATAGTGCTAAAAAATAGAGATTCCTTGACCTGGATTTGAACCGGGGTTGCTGCGGCCACGACGCAGAGTACTAACCACTAAATGATCACGGCACAACGGCCGAGCCAGGTAGGATTTGAACCTACAATCTTCTGATCAATAGTCAATCAAGTGGCTAGTTATCACCAGTGTTCTGGTGCTTTCTAATTCAGTAAGATTATATGTAACCATACCTGTCTAACTTCTTTCAAACATGTTTCCATTGCCTGAATAGCTTAAACTTGAAATCTTAATATATATTTAACAGTTTACACATATAACTTGATGTGCTTGTCTGAGGAGCAGAAGTTTGCAAAGTGCTTTTATTTAAAGGGGCACTCCATTCACATAAACATGTTGGGTGCAATCTGTGGGTTAGGTTACATTTAGTTATGTAAGCTCGTTTGAGCAGGGCCCTCCTCTACCTATTGTTCCTGTGTCACTGTGTAATTGTCTAATTTATTGTAAATTTCCCCCCCTTTCATAATATTGTAATGCACTGCGGAATTAGTAGGCGATATATAAACACCAATAATAATATTAACTGTGAACGTAATGTAATGACGATTTCTGAGAGGTGAACTTCAGCTGTTAGCTTTCTTCTATAAAAAGTGGACAACTCAACCACAAGCTCCTTTAAGACTAGTGCTCAGCAGATCTATAAAAATGAAGTGAGCAACTGTTTTAGTGAGTGCTCAGTGTAGAATATGCACAGCCTGTGGGGGTTTAAATGTGAGTATTTAATAATGTATTGATTTTGTATATATTTTTAACTCATCACCTGTAAAATATGCTTAAAAATGTGTCGGCTCCAACCGGGACTGTCTCATTTATTCAAAATGAGTAAACTGCTTTAATGTTTTACGTTTTTTCTAAATGTACTTTTCCATAGCTCCTGGGAATGCTGTGTGCCTGCATTGTTCTTTGCAGAAGAACCCGCGATCCTGCCTATGAACTGCTTATAACTGGCGGTACCTACGCATAAGATACACCAGGCTTTCTTGACCCTTGTGCTTTGGATCCTTAACCCTACCTGTCCAAGAGGGCACTGCAGCGGGATGCGGGCTCCCCTTGTCTACCTTGACTTCACACAGCTGATGTTATCTTGAAACTGACTGTTTATCTCTGCCCTCGGCCTGTCACTTCAGTAGACTTTTTTTTTTTTTTAATGCTAATTTTTAGGTTTTAGCATTGGTAGTTGTTGTTAGTTGTATAATAGCAAAGGAAAGCAGCATTGTGGCATAATTATTGCTCTGTGCCCACTCTTAAGTAAAAACCTGAGCCAGCGTTCAGAGCAGTGCCTTACAAAATGCTGCGGAGTGTGAGTGCTTGCTGGTATTACTGATTGACGTTTGTTTCACTTGTATCATGCACATAGAGGGCCTCTCACCCAGCGGACAACATCAGTATTGCTTAAAACACCTAAATGGAACTGGAAAGGTACAATATGTATTGTCGACAAATTTGCCTGTTATTTTTAGGATAATGAAGAAATGTTTAATCCATATATGGATTGTATGATGTGAATTATCTGAGATAATTGGGTCTCGTTCTCGTTGATGTCTTATGGCTTATCCATCATGTGTGATGATACTACTGAAAGAGTCAAATTCTCTCTTTCTCTTTGACTCCTTTATGGGAAAAAAAGTGTTTTCAAAATGCTATAAAACACTGTCTACATCTGTTATCCTTGTGATAAAGACTGGGTTTAAATATACTTTAATTTGCAGTGATCTAAGAGGTTTTGAGAATTGCTTTCGATGTTCCAGAGATTAAGTCCTCTCTTTTAACCCTTTAAGCATTCTGTGGTGTGCAGTGAGGCGTTCGGAACACCTGGCACCCAAAGAGTTAATATGCACCTAGTAGTTAATGCTTTTACCTGCAATGCTGCTTTAACATATACCTGCAAACAGGGTAGGAAGCATGTGTCCCTTTACTAAGAACCTGTGTAAAGAAGCCCCGTTTTATTTCTCTGTCTCCAATTTAGTTTTAATATAAAACATATAAACTGTTGCTTTATATGAAACAAGCCATTGATTATGGCTTATTTATCCAGTACTGCAAGGAGGCTGTTGTAAACTGAAATTGGAATACACACCGAGAGGAGGAAAGATCCTTGGTGTAAGGACCTGCCTTCTCTAACTGGACTGCACACTGGACACTATTAGCACTCTATCACACCCCTCCCCGGCCCCCCATCCCTATTTAAAGCTGAGCAGGTCAATTTCCAAAACCTAATTTTTCTGCAAATCATATGTACTACTGTTAATGTTGTTTTTTTCCCCTCCCTTACCTTATTTCCCACTGTACTTCGGATGGTGCAAACATTAGAAATGTAGATATATCTTGATACATTTTCCCTAACTGAAACTGACCTGTAAATAGTGACTGATTCAATAAAATATACATCCACCCAAAAAAAAAAATTGGCTGGTTTATTGCCATTATTTTTAACAAATGGAGGTTTGCTTTGGTCCAAGAACTTTATTTTAAATAAGTCCCTTTATTTGGTGTGTGTATACAGGATACAAATCCATAAAACCTTTGTATAGTGCAGGTGGAGAAGGGGCAACAGTAGCCCAAAAATGAAACAAGGTACCGAATTTGATAATGCTGAATGCTAAAGCAATGGGATTTTCTCCCCTGTTAGAATATATTTATGGAGTAATGCCTTACCACGTAACCTTGAAGTCTATCAAGATTCAGCATATGAAAAGTTTAACCCCTTAAGGACCAAACTTCTGGAATAAAAGGGAATCATGACATGTCACACGTGTCATGTGTCCTTAAGGGGTTAAACATACATTTAAAAGTTTGAAAGAAAGCATTACTCCAGGCTGGATTCGATCTTTGTTTTTTAATGTACAAAGAAATATGCAAAAAGAAAGCTAGTAAAATAAGATATATTCTGAATTTACTGCAGGAAAATCACTAAATTTTTGCATTTTTCGTAGCGATATCTTGCCAAGCTAGGAAGGGCGGCCACTTGGTTTTAATGGAAGCTGAATATCTTCCTTAAAGCAGCACGGTCACCATCTGAGGACTTTGCAAATGTCAGTTCTACTTACCTGAACCTGTCTACTTACCCTGCACCAAGAGCCAACATCGCTGCCGAAAGCTATTTTGCATGATCCTCCATAATAAAGCTTATTCTCTGCAGCTGTCACTGTTGATGGCTGGGGGGATTGATTCTTATATTCTATGGTGTCTCCACCCTGCGTTTAGAAGTGTCAGGTGTAGGAAATGTAGAAAGACAGAGTAGTCCCTATTTTGTCTAAGTATATTATGGCTGGGTTGGAATTTCAGTGAAGTTCCAAAACAGTCTATATGTGTATTTCATAACAATTCTGTTTTTATGAAATACTAATTTTTCCGGAAGGGTGACAATACCGCTTTAAACCCCTGCCTATTGGGGTGGGTTTCTAGCAGCAACAATGTTTCCAAATCGTAATTATGTGGAGAGGAATGGGGCATACAGTGTTACTGTACTCGGAGTGTCCCTTTACCATGCTTATTTTACTGACATTGCTCCAAGTCATTGGATAGTCCAGGGGTAGGCAACCTTTGACACTCCAGATGTTGTGGACTAGATTCCCCTTAATGCTCTTACATCCATAATGCTGGCAAAGCATCGTGGGAGGTGTAGTCCAAACAATCTGGAGTGCCAAAGGTTGCCTATGCCTGGGATAGTCCATCATTAGAAGCTGAGCAACGGGCTTGGTCGTAAAAACGTGTTTTTCTGGTGTGACTGGCGTTGACTCAGATTGCTATATGATGATGTAGGAGTTGTTGGAGCAAATCGTAGAACAATTCTTCAAAGCGCCAAGAATTATCTCCTGAGGGGCTGTTCAGAGTCTGTCATATAATATCAGTTTGCTGCCTAAATGGTCATTCTGAGAGCCAACACAACTTGTATGTATTTTATAGTTTTGGACTAAATAATTAGTTATGCATGAAAACTGAGAATGGAACAAATTCAGCTAACATAAACTATAGATTGTACCTAATGTGTAGACCCATGGAGTGCCCTTTTAAGAAGCCTAAAGAGAATTCAGATTTCTCTAGGCAACTCTAATCTAGAATGCAGGAGATCAGGTTTTTACTTAAGTTTTTAAATCATGGGGGCGTTCCCATAGTATAGTCTTTGTTCACATTGCAGAATCACTCAATAGTTGTACCAAAATGGAGGTCAAAGGTTTTGTTTTTCCCAAGGACAATCTGAATCACCCATGAACAGGCATTTGAAGATCTGCTCAATTGAAAGACAATAGTACAAAGGACTAATGAATCCTACAGAGCCCTGGGTAGTATCAGATCATGTTAGTAAGTATTCTGTAACAAGTCATGGTCCATTCAGTTAGCAGAAGTATATCATTATAGAAAAATTTACGGAAAAAACATAAAATTAATGAGAAATGTAATCAAAGGTACACACACACTTTTTTTTTTTTTTTTTTAACCCACACTTGATCACATGTGCAAGTATAGTTTTGCTTATTCTTTGCAGTCCAATAAATGTGAACTATTAGCTAGGAAACTGCAAATTGTGGGCCGGCATGCCCACTAACAGGTTTAGAAAATGGTAACAATTCGGCTATTCAGACATCAATTCCTGGTTTGGTGAATTCATTACAATTATTAATGGCTATATTTGTGACTTTAGCAGGACTGACCGATACAGGCTAATTTTGTAAATGGAAGTTCTGCAATAAAACATCACAGAATGGTGACCTTAAAATGCAAACCAATTACAGGAGGCAGGATACAAGTGTGTGCTACTTAGAAAGCCTGTGACAGAATACTCTATGTGTAGTGTCTGTTATATACACACACACTCCCTCTCTCTGACAGTCAGAGATATCACACTACACGTCAGACATGTTTTCTGTAGATTTATTCTTCAAACTAAAGATTATATCCATTCATGTGAACACAGGATAGTTGGTAAATGTTTGACAGAGAATGTTGCTGCTATAATGAGGAAAGTGGGCAGTTCCTTAGACAAAGGAAGGCAAAATGAGAAGGCTGCACCTCCATAAACCTTAGTGTACATCAGGACCAGATTAACGATGCTCAGGGCTCCCTCATAGAGGCTTTGGCTTTGTTCTGTGATCTGTGTGGTGGCTGCATTTTGTGTGGAGGAAAGTTTTGAGTGAATGTGATTTATTTATGCTTACATTTCCTAAGTGGTCCAGTAACAGAGCATTTTGGTTTGCATTACTGTAAGGTGCATATTACATTAAGAGCTCTCTTGTGGTTCATGCTCTCAGCTAATGACTCAGAGCTCTGGATGTGGTGCCTTGAGTTACTGAGATTGACCAAAAGGACCGCCGTGGAGCTTGGAAATTGATCAGCACCCAATGAAGGTACAGACTATGAAGCTCCCTCAAACAGGTGAAGAGCCTCAGGGCTGAGCCGAATGGGCTTTTTGATTTTCCTGCCAGCTCAATAAGGCCTCCGTCACAGCCAATGTCAGAGCTCCAGGCCTCGATAAGGGATCACTGGACTCCTGTCTAGCTGCGTATGCTGAGTTATAGGTGTAGACAAAAACATTTGTGATGACATCGACACCTTTTAGAGATCATTTTTGATATCTGATGCATACTGCCACACCGACACACCGTAGATTCATATAAAGTATAAAATATTCCGAAATCAACAGATACTGCATAGGAAGTTCGTTATGCAGATATCTACCAGCTACATAGCATATATAATCAGTGTGGATCTAAAGGTTTTCAGATTATCATATTTTTCTCATAATAAATAAAGGGGATCAATTATGGAGCATATATTGCGTGTACACATATGTCATACATTCTCAATTCATTATTCTCGAATAGATGGGAATTCCATGCACCAGAAAAACTGATATGTTGCCAGAGGCTTAACGTAACAAGTTTCTGAAATAATGTGGAACACTGTTACCTATATCTATGAGTTTTAAAACAATTGAGTATATGAATCTACAGATTGTGCTGTCAACTTGCTATAAAAAATTTTTTTTTTCTTTTGTATGTATGAGAATATTGGCAACCATTATTATTATAGCTATTAACTATTGATAATGTTCCCCTGCTCCCCCAATCCATAGCGCTTATTTATTGTGTTATATGTATTTTTTCCTGTGTGGTTCAAGGGGAACACAGTTTGTAATATATATTGGCAGCTTGAGCTGTCAATGCACGGAAATCAGGCTATCTGGTTGAAATCCAGAACAACCCAATCTGAGAGAGAGCAGAAACATTAATAGTGGCCAAATCAACAAGTGGTCAATCTCAAAAAGAAGGAATGCGTTGGTGTGTTCAGGCTCAGAAACACTGAAATGCGTGGACAACCACGGAAGACATCTATGGTGGATCCTCTAGAATGTAAACTTATTGAGCACGGCCCTCCACCTCTCTGTTCCTGAAGGTCCAGTTGTCTGGTTACAATTACATGTCTGTTAGTCCACCCATTGTCTGGTTACCATTACATGTCTGTTAGTCCACCCAGTTGTCTGGTTACAATTACATGTCTGTTAGTCCACCCATTGCTACGGAATCTGATAGCGCTATATAAATAATAAAATAATAATGATCATACACAAAATCTATGATAAATAATATCTCCCTAACAGGCTAGACAACTTAAACAGCAATACCCGTTCCAAGGCACAGAGACTACCTTGTAATATCTGGGCGTCTGGATAAGCCGAGACCTAACCCAGTTATATAGCGCAAATTTTCAGCCATTGTTAATGAGGATTAAAAAAGGTACCTGGAGGACTGGTCATGACTGCACCTCTAGTTTGACAAGGTCGGGATGAAAAACCCCTTAACCAACAGAAAACATTCTGAAAGTAAATACAGAGGATTTCCCAACCTCTGCTAAGCTTGAAACATAGGAAAACCAGATTAGACTTTGCCAGAAAATATATAAAAGCCTACCACGTTCTGGCACAATATTTCATATATGCAAAATCCAAAAATATTCGTACAACAAAAAACAACAAAGCTGGGCCATCTTTGAATGTTTTCTTCATCTGTGTGAATTTATTACCATTTCATTTAAAAAATATATATATATATAAATAAAGCAATATTTCGACCACATTAATATGTTGCCATAACACGGCGGTTATTTGCATATCTGACTAATATTTAGTATGGGGTGATTATCTGGGAATCGTATTATATTTCTTATGGTCAGCTTTTAAAAGGATAAAATTTCTAATGCCCATGGCTGGCATTGAATATAAATTCTAAGGGCTTAAAGAACAAGCTGTGCTGAAACTCACAGGGTTATTCAATAAAGTATACATTTTAAATTGTAGGCCAAAAAAAGAAATAGCTGGTCTTTTTCCAAATCGGCTATTCTGACCTACAATGTTCCCTTTAAAATGGGTTCATAAATAAACCATAATCGAGATGCTTGAGAACATAATGTAACTTGGTACGACTTGGTATATTACGTTCTAAATATACTATAAAACAAAACTTGAGGTTTTCTGTTTAAAATACAGGATCTCAAGATACATTTATCTAATATTCTATCTCATTCTGGCGTTATGTTTCATCTGAGTTCGATTTTTCTTACTTGTCAATCAAGCAGATAATACACAACCCAATTTTAAGTGTTGTCTCAAGGAAATACACACAGTGAGTCGGTTGCATTAGATTACATTTTCGTCTTTTTAGAAATTCGCAATCGTTACTTCCTTATCCTTGTCTGTCTGTTCATTATATTCTGTCTATGCTTAAAGCACGGACAACTGTTTCCCTACTTAATATTTTTGTTTTCTCTTTGATTTGTTTATATACTTTTAAATCTTATTTTCACCTTATAAATCAAGTTCTAAAGTAAACTAATGTATTATTTATTTTCAGATTTTTTTATTTTTTTTTACACTTTCTAATTTTGAAATGTTTTTATTTTTTTGTTGTTGTAGGGGGTGGACACACTATTGAGTCTTTATTTTCTATTACTGTACAAAAATTTAAAAATTTACTTGAGAAAAAAAAAACTAGGTGTGTTTTTCCTTCAATACATGTTCATGGTCCCTACAGATGCATTTTGTTGCCCCAGTCCTAAGTGCAACCCAAAGATTATCTTTCTTTGCTGTAATGTTGTATTAAGAGAGAAAACACCGTCAACAATGGCAGTTCCTTTGGACTCCAACCTGGAACAATGTTCAATTTGTTTTTTTTGCTTCAAAGTTTGTCTATATAGGAACCCGGTACAAATCCTACTTCTCCATTTTTTTCCACCGTCCACCATCCATCGCTACCTTCTTCGATTACCCTGACTACGTCTCCTGCCGTAATATTCAGCTCATCAGTGCTCTAAAAGAGAATGAAAGACTAGTGAGTGCACGTTTCAACCAGTTGTTATTTTTGTCTGTTAACATGCTTCCAAACTCTGCCTGAGGAGGAATAATTGTCATATTGTTCCTGATTTGGTATCATGTTCACAAGTCATAGTAAAGGCTGTAGGTGAATAAACCACTAAGCACTTAAAGTGGACTTCAAGAAGTCAGTTCAAAAAAGTTACGTTAACCACCTAAAATACTTACCCACTGAGATTGCTGAAACCTTACGCACATATTACAGAGATTTGTACTCCCTACCTACCCAAGAGACTGACTAACCACCAACAAACCGCACAAATTAGGGAATAATTAAAGAGAAACCTACACAAACGTCTCCAAAGGAGGAGATCCAAAGCCTAAAGAACCACTCACCGTGGAAGAATTAGTTACAACCCTAAAGACCACTATGACTGGGGAATGCCCCGGCGGATTTCTGGTAGGCTACTACAAAAAATATGCAGACATTTTCCACCCGATTTCTAAAGACCTTCAATGCCATAAGGGACGGCCATGCCATCACTGTGCAGCCCCTAGCTGCCACTATATACCTGATCCCAAAAGAGGGCAAGGACACTTTTGCAATTTGCAAACTACTGCCTATTTCTTTATTAAATTGCGATTTAAAATTATTTTCTAAGAGCTTTGTTTGCAGTGCTCCAGTCGATGGGCATGGGCCCCTACTTCCTGTGGTGGATATGAACCCTATAATTGCTTCAACTGGCTAATTTAGCATCAACGAGGCACTCATGGAACTGTTCCCCATACTCAATGGCACCAGGTAGGGATGCCCATTTTCACCCTTGCTCTTAGCCCTGGCCCTTGAAACCTTCCTTAATGTGATCCGACACAATCCTAATACCATGGGGTTACAAATAAGGAAGACAGAACATTCCATCGGTGCATACGCTGACGACCTTCTATTCTTTGTGATTGACACTATCCATTCCCTACCGCACATAATGGCAGTATTTGACACGTACGGTTCCCTGTCAAACTTTGAAATGAACTACACAAAATCTATGATCAATAATATCTCCCTAACAGGCTAGACAACTTAAACAGCAATACCCGTTCCAAGGCACAGAGACTACCTTGTACTATCTGGGAGTCTGGATATGCCGAGACCTAACCCAGTTATATAGCGCAAATTTTCAGCCATTGTTAATGAGGATTTAAATAGGTACCTGGAGGACTGGTCGTGTCTGCACCTCTAGTTTGACAGGGTCGGGATTGTCAAAATGTACCTCCTACTACGTGTCTTACACCTGTTTTAGGCCCTGCCAATCAGCTTCCCTAAAGCCTTTTTACCTCACTCGCACGCCGATTCTGAGGTTCATTTGGCGTAAATCCATACCAAGCATTAGACATGATGTCCTCACGCTGCCAAAGTCTGAGCGGGGGAGGGGTCTATCACTGCCAGACTTTACTATCAGGCCACCCACATACGAGTAGTGGAATGCTCCAAACAGGGAGTTTTCCAAGCTATGGAAACAGGTGGAGGCAGCACAAATGGAAAGGCCCATGATAGTGAACGAGACACTGCTGGACCCGTTCATTGGATCCACACCTATTTTTCAGAGCGACACTTCATATTTGGCACATGCATGCACCTCAGCTAGAGCTCACCTCCTTTCCCGCTCCCCTCCACCCTGTGACCCTGACTTTCCACCGGGTTTTAAGTTGATAGCCTTCTAGAGACTTAAGCAAGGCCATAACCCAGATAAGGCATCTATTGCACGTTGCCAGGGTCACATCCATGGCGTCATTGAGGGGCACAGGCAAACAGAACTTCATGCAACTATTTCAACACAAACAACTAAGTTTTTCTACTCCACCCCCCAGAGGCCTGTTATCCAACAAGATCTCACCCCCCTAGAAAACGCATGTATGGAGGAAGTTCCCCTCGAACATGGAATTTCTTTCCGATACAAACTGATTCTAACACAGAGAAGGTTGCCACCCTCTAGCTTTATGGGGAAATGGGAGCCATCACTAGGAGAAACATTTACCTGTACACAATGGCTACAGATATGTGATTTGACACAACACTGACATATCTAGTAATATTCAGGAATCTGCATACATGTTACTAACCTTATAGTATTGTACCCCCAAATGCTACCCACGATAGTACCAACCATTGATGAGGGATTGTAACAAACTGTGTCAATATGACTGTGTCCCACAACAGAGTGCAGCCCTCCCGCTCCCCTCCAACCCTTTGTCCCTGGTACTGCCCACGTGGAGACATCCACCAGGGAGAGGTGCGAGCCCTAGCTGACACTATGAAACTAGCAGGTGGCTTCAAAACCGCAGAGAGCGTGCCGACCAATGAGAGAAGCGCTACCATTCAAATTGGTTTTACGCCCTTTCTCCCGATTGGTCTGCAAAACACTGTAGCGGAGAGCTGGTCTTACACAGCATATCTCCACTTTAGATCCCAGTAAGGCTCAGGAACAAGTATTATAAATCCACAGGGTAATATTTCCAGCAGGCAAAATACTCCAACAATATCCCAACCTCAATCCCAATGACTGGACGACACACAGCATCAGGAGCAGAACTGAACT